TAAAGCTGCAGTTTACTTTTACAGACTCTATACTCTGAGCAGGGCAAGTAAAGCCTGTGTTTTTCTCCAATTACTTTGTCTACCACTTCAAGGTATACAATCTCTGACATTCTTTTTACATAATTATCTAAACAATAGGAAAAAACCCTCTAATTTTAAAATGCATATACAGTAAAAGTAAACAAACATAACGGGTAGGAGCTTTGCTTTTATTTTCCTTCCAAAGCGCTTAACATTCTGCAAAAGGTCAGTGCTGCCCTCTACTGCTAGATGTTAGTGTTACAAACATATTCCTACTAGCTTTGAGCAATAGATAAGACAATCTATCACACAATTTTAAACACTGCCGTTACGAGTTTTGTTTTGTTTTTTTGTTTTTTTGTTTTTTGAGACAGCATCTGGTTATGTAGTTCAGGCTGGTCTCGAACTCGAGGCGATCCTTGTACCTCAGCCTCCTGAGTGCTGGGATTACAGGCGTGCATCACCATGCCCAGCAGGAGTTGTTTTAAAAATAATGCATTTTTAGCAAATCTGTTGAATTTGTTTTCTTCATTATCTCATTTACATCTGTCTTGTACCAAAATGAAGGATTTTAGGATATGAGCCCCCCCAAAGAGGAAGATTTCTTTTGATTTTAAGATGTATATAGTCTTCCCATTCTTCTGTCATCTGGGAGGTCATTTGTGTTTGCTAACCTATTTCTTTCCTTGTGTTTCTTTGAGTGGAAGAGTTTCTTAAACTCTTCCCTCCCCTGACTTGTTCCTAAATTTAAACCTTTTGTGTGTTCAAGTTCAAAACAGTAAAATAGGCTGGGTGTGATGGTGCACGCCTGTAATCCCAGCACAACTGTCCTTCCTGGGCAGTACTGCGAGACCTTGAAAGCAGTTGCTTCCAGGTGGACAGAATAATGGAATGGTGTTTCCAAACACTTTTTATTCTTCAGAACAAGACGATGTAGAAATACTACTGCACACTATACAAAGGCTAATATTAAGATATTTACATTTTAATTGTTATCTTGTTGCCTTTAAATTGCTTTGAGAATTTATCTCTACAAAACCCTCTTGGAGGCTCTAGATTTTTTTCTTTCTGTTTTTTCTCTTCATTCAGAGGAAATACAGTCCCAGAGGCCAACATTTTAATCATTATACTACACAGCTTCTTAAGTACAAAGGCTACAATAGCACAATTTCTAAATGGTGCCACAGAACTATTTACAATCAACAAGGAAATGAAACCATTGATAGTTTCCAGTTGTCTCTGTCTCTGTGTGTGTCCATGTGTGGGCTGCGGAGGGAGTCATACATAAGCTAAGGGGAGAAAGGGAAAGAATCTAAGGAGGAGAAGCAAGGAGAGAGGAGTCCACTAAGGCACAGCCAGGACACAGCCAGTGAATGTGGAAGGAAGGGTTGAAGGAACGCAGCTATGTTCCTTCCCTGGGCTTATCTGTACTTGTCTCCCCTCATCAGCCACACTGTAACTCTTAACAGATCCTCTTACAGCTTTGTTTTTTTTTGTTGTTATTGTTGCTTTTTTTGTCCTTTACAGTGCCAGGGATTGAATCTAGGGGCTCATACATGTGACCACCGAGCTACATCCTCGCCTACAGCTTTGACTGTCAAAGAAACACTTGCCCAGTACACAACCCTAAATAATGCCCTATCCTTAGCGACATCCTACAACATCCAAATGTAACCTCCCCAACACACTTTGTGCTTGAGTGCAAAGGGGGGATAAACTCTTCCCTCCCCTGACTTGTTCCTAAATTTAAACCTTTTGTGTGTTCAAGTTCAAAACAGTAAAATGGTGCACGCCTGTAATCCCAGCACAACTGTCCTTCCTGGGCAGTACTGCGAGACCTTGAAAGCTTTGAATTTCCAGGGGAGTGTATTATAAGGGAATTCATTTCAGATGTACAGTTTTTGCTTTGTGGTTCCCAGTTCCTGTTTTCTAGTTCTTATAAAAAAAAAAAAGCAAGGAGAAAAAGTCCAAAGGGAGATTGCAGGCTGAGTGTGTGGTGCATGCCACTAATCTTTTTGTTTTGTTTTGTTTTGAGATGGGTCACTACAAAATCCAGGCTGGTTTTAAACTCATTATGTGGCCTAGCCTGGCCTCCAGTTCATAGCAATTCTCCTGACTCAGTTTCCTGAGTGCTAGGATTATAGGCATGTGCTACCACACCAGGCTCAGCATCAGTAATCTTCGTGGCTAAAGAGGTTAAGGCAGGAGGATCACTTGAGCCCAGGAATTTGAGACCAACCTAGGCAATATTGCAAGACCTGCATCTAAAAAAAAAAAAAAAGAAAGAAAGAAAAGGAAGAGAAAAAGGACATGAAGGCCCGTGGTGCACACATGTAATCCCAGCACTTGGGAGGCTGAGGTAGGAGGATCATTATGAGTTTGAGGCCAGCCTGGGCTACAAAGCGAGCTCAAGGCCAGCCTGAACTGCATGGCAAGACCTTGTCTCAAAAAGACAAAAAAAGAAAAAAAAGATGAGATGTAAGAGGCAGGCTTTGATAGTCCTAAGGAAATCAGAAGGCAATGAAAACCCAACCCCTTTTCCTTGTGACTCTTATGGTCCTTACCCCAGTGCTCACTTTACCTGGTTGCCTACCTGTCTGCACAGTGCTAGGCTCTTGTCTTTTGTGTAACAGATCCCTTCAGCAAGGAGGCAGTACTGAGTCAATTCTAGTCAAAGTGTTAATATTAGCAGTGACCTGAGAGGCATTTTGTTTATTTCAAGACTGGTATTTTACTTAGGAGGCGGCCTACTGGGGTGGAAACAGCAGTACCGAAGCTGATCTCTAAGAATCTCACATTCCCAAGAAAAAAGTTGAGACTTGAACCTCATAATATGTAAGCTTCTCTCTCCTCCCTTACCCACACCCAGTAACTGCCCTTTTTAGAATTTAAAGCAGATCTCATAGGGGACATGCAAAAATGCATTTGACATTTTCTTTGTCCCTATCAGCACTGGCTTGATTATGGAGCTGCTTAGCTTGTCAATAAATATTTACTTGGTCTTAGCCATGTTGATAAGTGTTTAGGAAACCTAGGGTTGTTTTTTTTCACTGGGAATGACGCAGGGTGTGACCATAATTTTGTTGGCCAACCCTGTGAAAAAGCATACTGCTTAAGCAAATTCTGGGAACGTGAGGCCTGGAACACCCCTCTCAGTAGGTGCCCTCTGCCTCTGCTTTTGGAAACACTGACAGTTCATTGTCGTTTGACCTTTAGTGGTAACTTAGAGTTCTTGGAGGGAAGTGTTCTTAATGAAACACTGTGAACAGTTATCTTTGAAAACAGAGGCAAAGTTCCTGAAAAAAAGGAGATAATATAAAAAGTTGACAGGGCCAGGCGTGGTGGCACTTGCCTGTAATCCCAGAACTCCGAGGCTGAGGCAGGAGGATCGTTGTGAATTTGAGATCAGCCAGGGCTACAAAGGAGCTCAAGGCCAGCCTGAACTGCATAGTGAGACCCTGTCTCAAAAAGACAAAAAAAAAAAAATGTTGACAGGTGTTGGACAAAGTACTTCGGCTTGTGTTTATTACTTCGATTGGAAAATTCTTTTTAAGATTTCTTGTACTGTCTGGTGAACAGGTCATGATATTATTTGCTTCTGAAGCACTGAGAGAAGTGACTCCAGTGTTTGTTGTTAGTGCAAGAAACTGAGGGAGGCTCAGGCAAGGTCAGATTCCCAAGCCCAAAACACACCTTTCTACAAAGAGCAAGGCCGATGTGTCACGATGAAATAGCTGACATTTAGGAAGTGCTTGGTATATACATTTTCTGTGCATGAACTCACAATGCCCACAACAACCCGGAGAAAAATACTATTATTTGATTTTACAGTGCAGGAACAAAGAGGTTAAATAACTTGCCCAAGTGAGTACATGGCAACTAGAATCTTTTTTTTTTTTTTTTTTTTTTTTTTTTTTTGAGGCTGGGTCTCTCTGTGCAGTTCAGGCTGGCCTTGAGCTCACTTTGTATAGCCCAGGCTGGTCTTGAACTCGCAACGATCCTCCTGCCTCAGCCTCCCAAGTGCTGGGATTATAGGCGTGCGCCACCAGACCCGGCGACAACCAGAATCTAAACCTAGGTAAGTCTGGTTTCAGAGGAAGGTTCCACAACAGCATTTTCTAAAATTGTAATATGTCCCGCAAGGTGCGGAAGCACAGAAAAGACTCTGATCAGAGTGAGCATTCAGGGAAGGCTTTATGAAGGACCGGCATTTGCTCTGGGTCTTCAAGGTCAACAGGAGGCAAAGGGGCCTCGGGAAGGAGAAACCTTTGGGCCGGGCCAAGGAATGACGGCTCGATCTGCTTTCCGCCTGCGGGGAGGGCGGCCGGCCAGATCCTGAAGGTCCTTGGGGGCCACGCTCGTCTATACGGATCCGGGGAGCAGCGCCCTTAAACCAGAACGCACAGTCCCGCCGGAATTCGTGGTCATCCCTCACTTTGGCGGCGTCTCCCCACCAGCGACCGGGGCCGGCAGCACACCGCGTTTCCTTCTGCGGAAGCCCCCGGCGGAGATGCTCCAGCCCGCCCGCGCGGCCTCTGGGCAGCACGTCTCGAGTGCAAGGCTAGGGATCGCGCTGGCTGCAGCCAGCCCTGGCCGGGTGGGGGACGTGGGCGCGGAGGCGGCTGGGAGCGAGAACACCTATTCAACGGGTACAGAACTTTCTGATTAGTCCGCTCGAACGTCCGCGGTCACCAAGCGACCGTCTCGAGAAGGTCAAGAGGTCTGCTTCTGGAGAACTCGGGGCGCTGGGCTTCTTGCCTCAGCCCCCAAGGAATAAAAGCCTCAGCGATTGGGGCACGTTCTGCCAATCAATTCAAGCCTCCGCCCACGCCTACGCCAGCGTAAATTGCATTGGTTGCATCGTTACCGGCTCCGATAAGACTCTCTTCTTGGATTGGCTAATAGTTCACCCTTCCCTACCGGCCCTTCTAGGTCAGAAGCTCTTGATTGGTTAAACTCGTTGCCAAGGTCCGGACGCGGCCCGACCATTGGAGGCTGCGGGCGACCCCGCCCGCTAGGTGAAGGTGAGAGTCTCCTCCGGTCCCTGAGCGCAGATTTCACCCAACTGCTCCTGGCCGGGTCGTGTGATCGCTATGGCTCCTCCGTCAGTGTTTGCGGAGGTTCCGCAAGCCCAGCCGGTCCTGGTCTTTAAGCTCACTGCTGACTTCCGGGAGGATCCCGACCCCCGCAAGGTCAACCTGGGCGTGGGGGGTGAGTACGCCGAGCCCCGGAGCTTGCGCCGCGCGGGCGGACCCGACCCGCCCGACCCGCAGCGCCGTGGCAGGGACGTGGGCGGCGCGGCGTTGCCTGCAGCGGGGGACCCGGGAGAGAAGCGAGACCCACGCGGGCTTCGCGTAACCTGCCCGTTTCACAGGCCGGGAGGTGGAGTCCCTGGAAGAGGGGATGTGACCAAGGTCACGCATACGTTTAGCAGCCAGGACGCAGACTCTGTCCTCCACAGCGCATCCTTTCCGGGCACGGGGCGTTGGGGAGTGTAAAAAGCGGGAGAGAAATAGGAAGCCCGGTAGGCTTGGGGTTCTGGTAGCTGGGACGTGAGTCAGGAGAACTGTTAGCTCTACAGACCTGTGATCTGCATTCATCAGGTACCTTATTAAATTCTGAGGGAGAAGAATGAGGCTTGTTTTTGTCCTCACACCCCTCAAGGATTTAAAAATCAGCAGACATCTGTAGGAAAATGAGTAGACCTGAAAAATACAATCTTAAGTGCAATAAATCAGAGACACACGCCTGAATACCATAGAGTGTCTCTAATTTTATTTTATTTTATTTTATTTTATTTTATTTTATTTTTGTTTTTTTTTTTTCCTCCGGTAACCGAACTCACTCACTTTTCACCGGGAACCGAACTCACGACCGTGCGCTTGCCAGGCAGGCGCTTTGCCGCTGAGCTAAATCCCCAGCCCCGAGTGTCTCTAATTTTAATAAGGTAAAATACAAATCCGGGGGACCAACTGCGAGGGGAGGGTGGGAAGAAAAGGGCAAGTAAAAAGATTTAAGAAGTGTCAGGTATTCGTACCAAATAGCCACAGTGAATGTAAACATGGCTTGTCTTAATCAGGAACTAAAAATAATAACAGTAAGAATGCAAATGGGGATGTAAAGATGGAAGCAGGTGGGGGAGGAGGGGAGTAAAAAAGAATCAAGATGTGTTGTGTACGTGCACCTACTCCGTAAGATGAACGTAAACTTCATGTACGGTAAACATGTACCAGTGAAAAAAACCGGCAGTCATTGCCCCACCATAGAGATGTGAAAGGCTTCTGAGATGGACGAATGCTGCCTGCAAGAGCTGGGGAAGGGGGCTGTGGCCTTCGCAGATGTGGTAGGAATGGGTAGAGGTGCTGAAATGGAGCTTGCTCTCCATGCGGCTTGTCTTCATTTCCTGAGTGTATTTCTTGAGCTTTGGACAGCTCAGTGCATGGGCTCTGTTTACCCATCTGCCAGGAAGAATATTTATATTAGAGAATCCTTTTCACGATAACCTTCTCTGGTGAATTTATTGTTAGCATTGTCATTTAGATGTTTGAAGTCCTGCAGAGACTTCTTTTTTGTTTTTTTCTTATCTCTTATTTAGTACTGGGGCTTGAATGTAGGCCTTTGCACTGAACTCCATTCCCAGCCCTTTTTTATTTTAAGACCGAGTTCCTAAGTTGCCTAGGCTGGGCTTGAGCTTGTGATCCTTCTGCCTCAGCCTCGTATAGTGCTAGGATCATAGGTGTGCATCATTATGCCTGGCTGACACTTTTCGTTTGTTGCTTACAAAGGCCCACCAAGCAGATGAACACGAGTTAGGATGATGTCCTGCGCTAAGGAACAGGCTTAGAATAAAAGGACTAAAAATTTTGGAAGGAAGACATGAAATTATTTTGTAGCTTAAGATGACAATGAAGGTGATTCTGTTTCAGGCTTCCCATAGAGAATGTTTATGTCTGAGTGTAGTACTTGTTTAAAAAGAAAAAAAAAAAACCCACTAAGAAGTATGGTGGAAGGAAAAAAGTCATTAAAAAGGATGACTAATTGAAGCTGGGCAATGGACATAAATGGACATAAGCGGTATTTTCCTTTTTATTTTCAGTACTGGGATTGAACCTAGGACCTTCGCATAGAGCTAAATTCCCAGTGTGCCCCTTTCCCCTTTTAAAATTTTGAAACAAAGTCTGGCTGAGTTGCTAAGTTACCAAGTTGCCCAGGTTGGGCTTCAATTTGTGGTCCTCCTACCTTGGCTTCCAAGAGTGTTGGAATAACAGGGGGCCACCATGTTCTCTCAGCTTTTCTGTGTTTGAAAATTTTCATAATAAAGCATTAAAAAAAAAAGCAGGTCAGTACTACCATGTCTTTTTTTTGTCTTTTTGAGACAGGGTCTCGCCATGGAGTTCAGGCTGTCCTAGAGCTCACTTTGTAGCCCAGGCTGGTCTGGAACTTGCAATAATCCTCCTGCCTCAGCCTCCCAAGTGCTGGGATTACAGGTGTGCGTTGCCATGCCTGGCCTAAGAAATATAGGACCTTGTATTTCTTTTCTTTCTTTCTTTTTTTTTTTTTGGTACTGGGAATCAAACTCAGACCTTGAGCTTGCCAGGCAGGTGCTGTGCCACCCAGCTATATGCCTGACCCAGTATTACATTGTCTTGCCCATGGAGGAAATGTGATGTTTTTAGTAGGCAGCAGGGTCAGAGAAATACAAAAGATTATCTTGAATTAAATCAGAAAGGGTACCATTTAAGCTCCTAATTTAAATCAAATGCAGAACTTCCAAGCATTTCTTTATGACCAGATGTATGCTAAAGAACTGATATGAACGTCAATCTAAATACATCTTTTTTTTAAAATTTTTTTTGGTTTTTCTCCGGTACTGGGAACTGAACTCACAACCTTGAGCTTGCCAGGCAGGCGCTTTGCCGCTGAGCTAAATCCCCAGCCCCTAAATACATCTTTTTAAAACCACAGATTTTATTGGCTCAGTCACCTTTGAACCATCTTACAAGGTATTGGTGATGATTAAATACATTTAAAGTACTTAGAACCATGCCTGGCATATAAGTGGGAGTTATGTGTTATATACCATCGTTATTTTGCCCTTTCTTTGAGTGATTCGCATGAAAAATGTTCACTAAAAATTTTAGCTCAAGAGTTTAAAAATGAAATAATTTATAACATTGGTTCTGATATAAAATGCATGCAGAGAGAAAGCTCTGTGCCAATGCAGGCCAGAATCGATTCACTTAGAATCATAGTCTGTAGCTCAGGTGGTCACCTCCACTGTAATGTGCCTTTGTCGTATTTTCCCGGATCCTGGGAACTATGAGCAAATAAAGTATGCAAGGAATCGCAATTAATGATCACAGCAATTTTGTAAGGTTCTTTGTTAATATTCTTGTTTAGAAGAAGGTGACAGAAGCCTAAAGAGAAGGTGCAGTTTGCCTCAGATCATATGACCTTTAGGTGGGACAGCTGGGTCCAGGGCCCAGCATCTCTCTGCCCACTCCTCCACTTGGGGTGTGTGGTCCAGGATAAGCCAGTGATCTGTAGTGGAAAGAGCTAGAAGACCTAGGTACAGGCCCAGCTCTGCGGTCCACTGACATGACCTTGAGAAGGTTAGTACCCTTGAGATTCAATCTGTAAAATGAGAAGCCGGCACTGAATGACTTCTAAAATTGTACTCTAAGATTCAACTCTACCAAGATGCTACTCCAAGATTCACTAGCACATTCCATGATTGAAGGGTAGGATAATAATTTTACTGGTCCCATCAATTGATTGAGGAGAAGTGAATAATTATGTGTGAAATGTAAATGAAAGGTATTGTGTATGTAAATGTTTTTGATCATCACTTGTAACTCATCTTTTTGTGCATGGCAGCTGCTCAGATAAGGATCTAATTAGTGCAGAATAAAAATTCTTTTTCCAACTTTTGTATGTCTCAACTTGTACATATTTCAAATTATGCCCTTTGTGAAGGAAATTAATTAATTACTAGCTTTGGAACTCTTTCCCCCTCCCCCCAGGTTAAAATAAAGCTGAACGGAGGTTAGGATATTTGTGGAATAAACTGTGACTGTAATCTCATTAGACAATTCCTTGCAAATACCTTCTTGCTGTGGGGATTTCAATAGTTTCCTTGCAGAGCACCATATTTTTCCACTGTTATGCACAAAGCTTTTCTGCTTTTTTTTTTGTACCAGGAATTGAACTCAGGACCCTGCGCTTGCCAGGGAGGCACTTGTGCCGCTGAGCAATATCCGTGGCCCAGCACAAAGCTTTCTGAATTGATCATTTAAATACTTCTCAAAGCTTCAGACTGACATGGCTTTAAGGGCAGGGAGACAGGAGCAGATAGGCTGATGATGCAGCCTACAGCAAAGCATTTATTCACAGGTGCAAGCCCAGTATTTCATGTAAATTTTTTTTTTTTTTTTTACCCCAGATAAAACTGCTTGCTTTAATGTTGTTTTCAGTATGGTTTCTTAGCATCTTCAAATAAGATCATTGGAAAAGTATGCTGTATCAGGTGTTCCTGAGGACCCTCCTCCTCCTGTGCTGTCCCCAGTATCCTGATAGAAGAGGGATCTTAGAAGCACACCTGCCTGCATGCCTGGGTGGGCCAGGATGAGGGACGATGGAGCTCTGAGGAGGAAAATGGGAATGATAGGTGGATCATGTGATTCTCTATGTTTTTCCTTTCTTTGTTTCTGTAAATCAAGATCACCAGGCACATCTGTAACCTGTGTGACTCCTTTAAAAGGGGTTATGCTCAGGAAGGAGGGTGATGTGCCGGGAGCAGGGAAGCACCCTGCGCAGGCCTCTGGTGCAGTCCCTTGGGGTTGCTTGCCTCAGGCTTTCTCTAGATGTCTCTTCCTCTGGAAAAAAACCTTGTATGGATTCTTGAATTCAGTACTGTTGAAACTCAGTTTACTATCTTTGTGACCTTGGACAGATTGTTTAACTTTTCTGGCTTCAGTGTCCAGATCCATAAAGCAAGTATCACATTTATTTTGTGGGTGATTAAAAGTATTAAATGAGAGTAAAAAAATGTAAAGTCTTTGGCACATTGCCTTATATTATAAGTATTTGGTAGATCCCTGTAATTACTGCGGTGTCTGTGACTGTCAGTGTTTGTAACTATGAACTCTTTTCATCCTGGACCTCTTTACTGAATGCCCTTTGTCTTCTCTTTTTATTCCCTTTGCATTCTGTATCTTGACGGAGTCTGCTACCACCGGGTCCTCATTTTCCAATGGGGAAAATGCTGGGATCTTAGCAACTCTTTCCCCAGCCCAGCATCTATTTATTTGGTTATTGGGTTCTGTCTTTTCTACCTCATAAGTCTGTTTTGAATATTTCCTGTTATCCACATGCCCTGCTGCCATTATCTTAATTCAAAAATTTGTTATTTCCCTCTGAGTGGTTGCAGCAGCCTTCTGACTTAACCATCTGTCTCTGTCTCCTCCAGTTTATTTTCTGTGAAGTCATTCAGATGATCCTTTTAAAATGTGAGGCTGTGCATGTCATTGTTTTACTTTAGTACTTTTAGTTCCCACTAAAATGGAAGTTCCTTAGAAGAGACTGTGAGACTCTTTGAGCCACACCCTGCTCCTCCTTCATGGATCCTTCTCCCAAGCCCTGAAAATGCAGATTCACAAAACCGTTGTGCTCTTCAAGCTTTTGGGACCTTGCCCGAGTTCTCTCTGTCTAGAATGCCGCTCTTCCTTTGTCTAGCTCTTACTTATTTACTGTTATGTAGGGAGGGCTGTTGAGACAAGGTCTTAACTGTGTAGTTCACTCATTATGTAGCCCAGGCTGGCATCAAGCTTCAATCCTCCTGCCTCAGCCTGCGGAGTGCTGGGATTACAGGTTGTGTCACCACTCCCAGCTCTCTTTGTCTAGTCTTTACACTCTTTCTATTTTTTCATATTTCATTCTCTGTGAAATCTTCCCTGATTCCACAAGGCAGAATTAAAGGCTGTGTGGCTTCTAGCCATTGCCTGGCTTATGGTAGATTTAGGAAGCCTTTGTTAAATGAGTGAGTGAAGGAAAGGATAACAGACAGGAGAAATTCTCTCTGTATTATCTCTACTGTTTTATCTGATAAGTATTTTCTTATTCTCTTTAATGGTTTGAGCAATCTTCCATTCTTACATCTGGTAATCTGAGCAACGTAGTTGAGGATAGCGATGTGTCATGTAATAACCACTGTTAATTTGTATTATTTTATCTTGAAACCCTGTATCACTCTGAATATGCTTGCTTTGATTTGCTTACGTTTGTGATACTGGTATGCTGCTACTATTCTATTTTTTTTTTTGTTTCTTTTTTGTTTCTCATTTACTACTGTCTTTAAAATAAAAGTAAAAAAAAAAAAAGCAATTCTCTGGGAGAGGAGGAACAATAGTTGTTGGTGGTGCTTGACCTTGCTGGTCCATTCATTCGAGAATAATCTGGTTCTCCCTCATCAGGGCAGTTGGGTGAGGTACTGGAATTATATCGCAACCAAATGTGGGACGAGCTGGGCAGTGAAGAAGGAAGGGGAGATTGGCGTTGGACACTTTGTCTTGTGTCACACAGCAACACAATGCCTCTCATTCCCACTGTCAAGTAGTAGCATAGGACAGTTTAGAGTTTCACAGAGCATACAGTATGGTAGTGATTAGAGGAGCAGTAATATGGCCATTTCTTCTTCATATTTATTTCTGTTATTTGTCAGTGACATTGCAAATATAAAAAAAAAGTAAAAATGTAATAAATTGTATCATGTAATGTACTATATATAATACCTAAACACAGACCTGAAGCATAATAGGACTGGTTTCGTTTTTGGTTTTTGAGACAAGCTCTCACTATGTAGTTCAGTCTGGTCTTAAATTCACTATGTAGCCCAGGCAGGTGTTGAACCTGCAGATATCCTCCTACCTCAGCCTCCTGAGTGCTAGGATTATAGGCGTGCACCACTGTCCCTGGCTGGAACTGATTTTTGTACATCTAAATAGTATCCTTTTCTAAGTATTTCAGACTTGTAGCCATTACTAGAGATTTCTGGAAACCTTTTGGAGGGTAGAACACACACAAGAGACCATCTCTTTATAATTGTTCTCCATGAATATCATCCAGTTGGTTTACCCACCTGCTTTCTGGAGATGATACAAGTGCCATTTCCTAAACATTAAATTTCCTTCTTGTTTTTTTTTTCTAACCATCTTCCCTCAGTTTTTACCTTTGGGTAGTCCGCGTTTGCAGTACAGGGTGGTTGCGTTCCTGTGAGAAGTTGGTGTGTGGACATAGCCTGCCCTTCCTCCTCCCCCTTTCCCTCTATCTCTCCGTCCCTTTCCATTTACAAACATCTGTCTCCCTGTTTCCTATTACCTATCTTTTCTCTTTTATTTATCCTTTAGATTTCTCATGTAAGAGAAACCATGCGATATTTAAGCTTGTGCATCTGATTCATTTCACTTAACATTATGGTCTCCATTGCATCCATTTTTCTACTAATGACTCAAGTTTATGCTTTGTGGCAGGCTAGTACTCCATTGTATAGGAATACCAATTTTCTTTATCCATTCATCTGTTGATGATCATACAAAGGGCGAAGAATTGGCACTATTTTTTTTTTTCTTTTTGTCTTTTTGAGACAGGGTCTTGCTCTGCAGTTCAGGCTGGCTTTGAGCTCACTTTGTAGCCTCGGCTGGTCTCGTACTTGCAATCATCCTCCTGCCTCAGCTTTGTGAGTGCGGTGATTACAGGCGTGCGCCACCACGCCTGGCTAAGAATTGGCACTATTGATGATATTCATAATAATGAGATGCTGCCTCTGAGAACAATTTCTCAGAACAATTCCGAGAATACTTGAACAGTGGAGGCATTGTTTTCAGATAGGGTGATCTGCTTCAAGAAAGCTCTTACTTAGAAGTAGTTGTTTGGGTGTATATTTTTAAAAAATAGATCAGATTCAATCTAGTGAAATAGGCTTTTTGAACTTGTCTAAGGGAGTTAGTTTGGTGGGCTGGAGGCAAAGTAGGAGTGGTATACCTGTACTGTGAGTTAGATTCATCAACCAGAAACTGTCAGTTGGCAGTGGCTGTGTCATTCGGAGCTCTACCCGAGTTCTTATTGCTAGGGCGATAGGCTTCTCAGATGCAGATGTCACCTTCATGGAGGGCAGAGTTCACTGGTAGAAGCTAGACACAAAATTCAAAATAACCTTATAAAGTTTTATTTGTTGTGTCCCTTTTGACCTAGTAATTTTACATTTAGAAATACTTTCTATGAAAACACTCATGAATGTGCATAGAGATACGAGAGCATTCATCACAGTGTTTATAATAGCAAATAACTGAAAGCAATGTAGTTAATAAGTTATGAATAGAAATGTTATCTCGCTACTCGAATGATCTATAAATGGCCCACATATATAAAAGGTGTTCACTTGTACTTATAATTAGAGAAGTGCAAATTAAAACTACCCAGAGATACCATTCACACTTTCCTTTTTGGGGAGGGGAGTGCGAGATATAGGAATAGGGAGACGCAAACATATCACCTGTCAGAGTAGTTAATGGTGGTGAGAAGTATTCATAATACATAAGTGGAAAAAGCATGTTGAAATTCCTGTCTACGGTATGATCCATATTTTATAAAAGAGTATACCCACAGAAAATAAAGCTTAGAAGATTTTCATGCCCCTTGTCTCAGTACTTAGATTGCATGTTAATTATAATGTTAATTATTTGCTCTCCGGGCTTTTCTAATTTTTCTACAGTTAACATGTGATGTTCAGTAAACAGTAACTACCACCCCAAAATGTGATATTTTTTTAAAAAGTCATGGATTAACGTTGGCAGAAATCAACAAGAAACATTAACATTTTGTTTCACCTTCCAAATCAGTCTGCACAAACCAAAAAGAAAAAAAAGGGGGGCTGGGGATTTAGCTCAGCAGCACAGCACCTGCCTGGCAAGTGCAAGGTCATAAGTTCAATTCCTGGTACGGGAAAAAAACGCAAAAAAACAAATCAGTCTGCACATTCAAGCAAAGAGGCAGATGACTTCTATCAGGAATACTGTTTGGAATAATGATTGGCTTGGGTGCAAGCGAAAGCAGCTGCCTTCAAAAGCTAGAGTACCAACATACCTATAGAGTAGTGGAGGGGAAATATCAGTAATAGAATGATTCAACCAGTATTTAAAAATACTACAAAGCGAGATTAAATATTGTAAAATAGATAATGTAGATCAAGGAGAGGCTGAGGCAGGTGAAGTGGATGAACAAAGTAGTAAACACCAGCTGATGTCAAAATACCAAGAGAAGGGAACAAAGATGTGTTGAAGGGGGCCCTTGGGCGATTGTGCAACTGGTTGCTGGACTCTTTAGTTTCAGGGTGTTCACTTACTGTTGGTCCTGTGAGGAGGAGAACGTGAATCTTCATCCATCCCGCTCTGTTTTTATGGTGAAGGTGCAGGGTTCTTGTGAAGTAGCACCTAGACCTTTCTGGAACTCTTCTGGGGACACACAGAAGGAACAAGACTGATGGGCCAGTGGCGGTAGAGGCCTCAGGGCAATAGCAGTATCAACACCGGGTTTGTGAGATTCTTTAGTTCGCGGGGTGCGTTCCCTTCCACTCATTTGATCAGGCTCTGTACTGTCAGTTTTATTTCAGCACCCTATTTTTTGGAAGGCATGTATTTAAAAGCTTAAGTTCTATAAAGACAGAGACAATTTCTTCCTTTTGTTTGTTCAGCTTGGAGCCCAGGGCTTGGTCCAGAGTAGGTACTCAACAAGTGAGTGCACTTGACTTCAGCTCCCGTCACTGTTCTATTTTGACCGGGAGTGGTAGAACCCTTCTTCCCAGTTCTAAGCTCCTGTTTGGATGAAGCCTGAGACGTCTCTCTATCTTTCCCATGTTCAGCTTACCGTACAGATGCTTGCCAGCCCTGGGTCTTGCCAGTTGTGAGGAAGGTGGAGCAGAAGATTGCCAACGACAGTAGTCTCAACCACGAGTATCTGCCCATCCTGGGCCTGGCAGAGTTCCGGACCAGTGCTTCTCGCCTTGCCCTTGGGGATGACAGCCCAGCTCTCAAGGAGAAGCGGGTGAGTTAGGGATAAGGGCTATGTTTTCTCTTTATAAACCATGAAAAGAAAATAAAGAAGAAGAAAAAAAGAAATTAGGAAAGTATGAAGACGTTGAAAATCCAGTTTTTAAAAACATGTTTAGGTGTTATGTCTCGTGATCTGTCATGGGTAAGGCTTACATAGTGTGAGGTTAGGAACTGGGCAGTGCAAATGACCTGGCCATATACAAAGCACATCATCTCAGTTGTTCAGTTTTGTCTAGTAGGTGCCGGATTTCAGTTCCTGGGTTTGAAGCAGTCAGTGGAGATGCCAAGCAGAGGGTATTTAATGGATTCGTCAGAGACTGGTGTCTAACCCATCTCTGCCACTACTTTTGACCATAGGCAAATCATTTACTCCCCTCCTCACTAAACCTACATATCAGAAAAGAGCTATGGTTCATGGCACCATAAAGAACACTTGCATAGGGGATCACTTAAAGGACCTTTCCTGAAATTGTATGCACAATTTTTCTTCTTTGTAAACTTTTTTCTGTGGAGAAGGGTCATAGTTTTTATCAGATTTTCAGAAGTGTGTGTAACCCCTCCCAAAATTCAGAAGCCAGTAGTCTAAATGCTCTTTGAAGTCTTTGCCAGTCTAATATTATCTGATACTTCTGGCCTTGATCTCACCATCTCTCAATTATGTTTTTTTGTGTTATAGATGGAGACATGTGGAAGAATAATATGTTTGGAAGCAGACATAGCCAGATGGCTGTCTGTGCAGGAGGTGGTTATGGGACAGATTCTGAGTGTCGTAGGGATTCAGAAGAGAGAGAGGCTCGTGAGGGCCACACCTAGGGCTTGAACTGAGCCTTGGAGAATGTGTGAATGTGGACAGGATGCTGACTTTTCACTCTGCCTTTACATTAGTATTATGGGGTGGGGAGCTCGTGTAAATTGGTCCCTATGAACCCTGGGCCAATCCAATCAAGTTGGAATGTTTGAGGTAGCAGCTTTCCTCTTCCCATCCCCTTCTTTTCCTCCCCCTTCCCCACCATGGACTTGTTTTTTAAAAAGTCCCCAGGGGATCCTAAGTACAACCAGGTTTGAGATCTGTGGAGTACAGAAGAGTTAGTGGAAGGATACTCTTGTCTAGTGGGGCAAGTCCAGGGACAGAGTTTGGCCCTAAGCAAGTCTGTGTTGTAAAGAGATCCGCCTCGGTAGAGCTGGGAAACTGTTGGACAGAGGAGATTGGCTCATTTTGGCAACCAGAGCAGGGGAAGCCAATTGAAGATTTGAACAGCAGTTACCCAATAAGTGTTATTTGAAGAAGATAAATGAGGATACATGGGTGGGAAATGAAAGAGCTCAGTTTTTTCCAATAGTCCAGTTAGCTGTTGGGCAATTCTAACCAGTTGCCCTTGTTAACCCCTGGGGCCATGTTGTAATGCAGCCCATAGTTCGTGCATAGAAGGAGTATTTGAGGTATCGGTCACATGCTGCTTCTAGTGGGTGTTTTCCTTTGGTGGATGTTTTCCATTTGTGTGGTACCCAGATGCTCTGATAAGCAGAGCTACGGGACAAAATAAAGGTTACACAGGTATACACTGTTGCGTGTATCAGGGCAGTGGTAGGCTCTGTTGAAAGCCTTGGAACACAGGTCAGAGATTAGGCAAGTAATTAATTAGGACTTTGACTGATGGGCGTGCAACACTGACTTGTCTCAAGGAACTGAAGATATGAAGGAGAAGTGTTAAAGTATATAAATTAGGGGCCATATAGGGAAGCTGTTCTGAAAACCAGTGTTTTACTGTGGGGAGGGGAGAGGGAAACGGAGGGAGGGAGGGAGTCAGGGAGGAAGGGAAAACAGAGAGAGAGAGAGAGAGAGAGAGAGAGAGAGAAAGAGAGTCCTAATGAACTGTGAAGGTGTGGAACTTTGGCAGCTGGGTGTTTATCTTCTTGGACACTGGAGATAAGTTATTTGGAATTCTGTTGACAAGAGACAACAGAGATTCTGTGTTGGGGAGATGCTTCCTCTAAGACTTCTCTTTTTTTTTTTTTTTTTTTTTTTGAGGCAGGGTTTAGCTATGTAGTTCAGGCTGACCTTGAACTTATGTAGCCCAGGCTGGAGTTACAGGTGTGCACCACCACACCTGGCTAACACTGAATTTCTTTTTTTCTTTTCTTTTTAAGTAGGAAAATTTACTGGGAAAAGGAATGGGGAGTAGAATAATTCCCGATAGACAAGAAGGGTTCCAAATGGGTTGCCAACAAGCCCAACTCTCAAAGGAAGTTTTATAGAGGGTTTTCTTTTTGTTGTTGTTATTGTTTGCTTTTTTTTTATGGTGTTGGAATTTGAACCCAGGGCTCCCCCTGTCACCTCTGGCAGGCATTCTCTCTACCACCCCTGTGTTGTGAGGTTTTGATGCTATAATACAAGGAAAGGGCTTAGCATAGAGTAGGCACAAAGCAAGTGCTCATTATTACCTTATTTTGCTAATGTTACCTGAGCTCAGTCTTATTCAGCTGTCAGCCTCATTCTCTTTCAGGTAGGAGGTGTGCAGTCTCTTGGAGGAACAGGTGCACTGCGAATTGGAGCTGAGTTCTTAGCCCAATGGTACAATGGGACAGACAACAAGGACACACCCGTCTATGTGTCCTCACCGACCTGGGGTGAGTCTGTCAGCTGTGGTGAGAGAAGCAAGAGAACGACCGCATGATGCTCTGTGGTCCCACAGGAAATGTAATCCAGCCCTGGGACAGCTGAGCTTCAGGAGCAGTTCGAGCACACTTATTTTTTTAGTCTATGTTAAAAATCCCTGGAGGAGGCATAAAATGTAGATGCAGGAAGTACCCCTGTCACAGGATGTAAGCTTGGCATTAATGTGACTGGTTGAACGTGTTCTTGGTTCCAATCATTTCCCTGTATTTTAATTTTTTTTTTTTTTTGGTTTTTCTCCGGTACCGGGAACCGAACTTACGACCTTGCGCTTGCCAGGCAGGCGCTTTGCCGCTGAGCTAAATCCCCAGCCCCTCATTTCCCTATATTTTAACCTCTAACCTTGATGACGCCTGGTGGACACTGAGCCTGGGAAGGCCATGAGAGCTGACTCTTAGCCTTCGTAATTATGCCATCTAGTGTTTGTAAAAGCACTTAACGTTTTACTCCTTTGCTTGCAGAGAACCATAATGGTGTATTTGCCACTGCTGGTTTTAAAGACATTCGGTCCTATCGCTACTGGGATGCAGAGAAGAGAGGACTTGACCTCCAGGGTTTCCTGAGTGATCTAGAGGTAGGCCAGCAAGGAAAGTCTTTGGATCGGATACGTGAAAGTCTGCGATACCTTGCCCAAACCAGATAGTAGATTGTGAAATAGCATGTGAGAGAGAGGGTGGCAGGAATATGTTCGCCTTTGTCCTTTCCACTAACTTGTGTGCTGCTGACTGTGTCTCTGGTTGCTGCTGTCAGTGCTGAATTAGCCTCTTTCTCCTCAGAATGCTCCTGAGTTCTCCATCATTGTCCTCCACGCTTGCGCGCACAATCCCACCGGGACCGACCCGACTCCGGAGCAGTGGAAGCAGATCGCTTCCGTCATGAAGGTAATTGCTGTTCCACAACATCTCTAAAAAATAGCATGCGTTATTCAGCATGTTCAAAAACAGAACCTGTTCACTGAAGAGTTTGAAAAATGGAGAAAAGTACAAAGAAAACAAGTGTTAACTGTAAATCCTGTTACCCAAAGAAAGGCAAGTTTTTGTTTTTGTTTTTGCAGTACTAGGGTTGAACCTAGCACTTTTACATTGAGCCAGTTCTTAAAATTATTATTTTGCAACAGGATCTTGGTAAGTTGCCTAGGCTGGGGTTGAATTTGTGATCTTCCTGCTTCAGCTTCCTAGGAGTTCTGGGATTACAGGCATGTGCTACCATACCAGCTGAAAGACAAGTGTTAAAGTTTTGGTAGCAAGAATATCAGGCCTTATATGTATGCATGCGTATGTGTGCCTTTGTGGATTTCATATGTATGTGTGTATAGATATATATATATGTGTGTGTGTGTGTGTGTATATATATATATGGGACTATTTTGTCTTTCTGTTTCATAGCACTTTTTTACTCGAGCTGCTTTATGTATAGGCCGTTTAGTGTTTTGCAACATTACTTTCCATGCTATATTATATTCTTTTCACACGTGGCTAGAGAGTAAATAGGGTCCTGTCCTATGCCAAGGCTTTGGATTTCATTGTTAGAGCAGTGGGAGCCACTAAATCTCAATGTCGGATAGTGATATGAGTGTATGTGCTTTGCCCTAAGGTCGCCCCGACTACACAGTGGGGAATGAATCAAAGAGGCAAGATTAGACAAGCTGGGGCAGTAGTTAGGAGGCTGTTGTTGCAATCATGTAAGAGCTGATGGTGACCTGAATGAAGAAGGTGGCAGTAAGGGGTAGGAAATGGCAACCGATCCTAGGGCTCTCAAGAGACAGGCCCGGTCAGCCTGGGGGTATGACTGGGTGTGGGACAAACGGTAGAAGTGAGAGTCAAGGTACACTCAGGTCTCTGGCTCGAACATTTCAGGAGAGGAAAGCTGTGTCCGTTCAGGGAGATCTCCTGACAGTGGGAGCAGACTCATGTAGGCAGCTCTTTGAGGAAGGGACAGTGACGAGAGACTGCTGTACCTGCCTGGTCCTGAGTGTCTGCTAGGTGGCCCTGGGAGTGCAGTCCTCACTTGACTAACTTGTCACACCAGGAATTCATGGAGAAGCACCCACTCACATGGGACAGCTGCTCCGTGCCTCAGCAATAAGCCCTGTTGGCAGAGCTACAAATTGACATCTAGGACAACGTACTGTTAAAAAGTGAGTTGTACCTGGGCGTGGTAGTGCGTACCAGTAATGCAGCACTCAGCAGCTGAGGCAGGAGGATTGTGCGAGTGTGAGGCCAGCCTGGGCTTCAGAGCGAGTTCAAGGCCGGCCTGACTACCAATGGGGCCCTGTCTAAAAAAACAACAAACAAACAAAAATGTGAGACTTACTGAAACGTACATCTGTGGGTTGGTATTGAGTGGAACTGAGTTGGTTGGGTCCACATGGACGAGAGGAGGGAGGTTCAGTGTTAGAAATTCCTTCCAGGCGCCAGATGGGGAAGGGAGGCTGGCGTCCAGGGTTGGTTCCGGGAGGATTTCCTGCTCTGACTTGCTTTCCTTCCTTGCAGCGCCGGTTTCTTTTCCCCTTCTTTGACTCAGCCTATCAGGGCTTTGCATCTGGAGACCTGGAGAAAGATGCCTGGGCCGTTCGCTATTTTGTGTCTGAAGGCTTTGAGCTCTTCTGTGCCCAGTCCTTCTCCAAGAACTTCGGGCTCTACAGTGAGTGCTCGGGGGAGTTGTGGCCCCGCCTCCCTCCCGGCCCCATCAGTGGCCCAGCCTGATTCTCCCTTTCTCTCTAGATGAGCGTGTAGGAAATCTGACCGTGGTTGGAAAAGAATCTGACAGCATCCTGCGAGTCCTTTCCCAGATGGAGAAGATTGTGCGGGTTACCTGGTCCAACCCTCCCGCCCAGGGAGCGCGGATCGTGGCCTCTACCCTGTCTGACCCCGAGCTCTTTAAGGAATGGTAAGAGGCTCAGAACCCAATGGGTACAGAACTGTAGTTTTTCTGTTACATCTAACTTAGTCTCTTCCTTTTATTGTGGCAGGGGCAAGAGTTACTGTTCTTCCTTCTTTCCTTTCTCTCTCTCTCCCCTTCCATCCCTCCCTCCTTCCTTCCCTGCCTTCCTTCCTTCGCTCGTTTCTGTTTTTTTTTGTTTTTTTTTGTTTTTTTTGTTTTTCTCTGGTACCAGGAACCGAACTCATGACTTTGCGCTTGCCAGACAGGCGCTTTTGCCGCTGAGCTAAATCCCCAGCCCCCCGTTTCTTCTTCTGGGGATTGAACCTAGGGCATTGCATGTGCTGTACCACCCCGAGTCCTTACAAATGTTTTTGGAAGGTGGAGTGGAGTGGGGTGTTGGGGAGGGAGACTGGGGGTTGCAGGACCTTTGCAATGAGCTACAATCCCCAGGCTTTTAACAGAATTTTTGAGACAGGGTCTCACTTAATTGCCATCATGCCCACGTTGGGCTCCAACTTATCTTTTTGCTTCAGCCTTCTGGAGCTGAGAATAATCACTTTTTTAACCTCTTTGAATCTCAGATATTTCTGTCAAGTAGGGCTCATTCAAGCCTCACACACCTGGAACTGAGGCTCCACTAAGTGACAGGCATTTTCTCCCACGCTCCGCTCCTGTTCTTCTCCCTTTCAAAGTTGGAAAACACCAGGAGGGATCCCTGCCAGAATAAAATGTCCAACTTCAAGGCAGCAGCGCAATTTTTGGACTCTTCATTCTAATCTTAAATTTCCACATCTAGTAGACCCCTTATCCACAGGGATAGCTCCAAACCTACCTATATTGTTTTTCCTATACATACCTATGGTAAAGTTCAATTTATAAATTGGGCATAGTAAGAGACTAATGATAACTAATACAATAGTTATAATGATATCTACAATAAAAGTTATTTAAAACATGTATTATTTACTTCTGGGATTCGCTGTTTAATATTTTTAGATTATGGTTGACCACAGGTAACTGAAATCACAGAAGTGAAACTGTAGGTAAGGGGAGAGCTGCCGTATTTTATCTTATTGTAGAACAGAGTCATTTCTGTGTGGTAGCTATTTTACAGTCTCTAATTTGAACTGACAGAATACATTATCTTATACATATCAGCACCTCAGGGAAGCCTCAATACAAATGCTAGTGGTTGATAGCCATTGTACCCAAGACCAGCGCCAGACTCCATTAGTGAATACAGTCCTTGCCTTCCGCCCACTTAATGTCTCTGGTCTGCTCGTTTCCCCTTCCAGGCATGCGCGTGATAGGCAAATTGTGATCCCATTTTCAGCTTACAGTTTTTTGTTTTTTGTTTGTTTTTGTACTGGGAATCAAACTCTGGACCTCGTGCTTGCCAGGCAGGCACAATTCCACTGAGCTATATTGCCAGTTCCATTAGCTCATAGTTTAGATTACAGTTCTTTTAGTTTTTGGTTTTGAGTTTTTGAGACAGAGTCTCACTGTGTAGTTAAGGCAGGCTTGAATTCTCTGTGTATCTCAGACCAGCCTCAGACTTGTAAGATCGCTCCTGAGAGCTGGGGTTACAGATGTGCACCACCATGTCAGGCTAAATTACACTTCTTAAGCCCACATGTTTTTGGGTACCATCGTTCCTGTCTGGCCTAGTATTTATGTCACTGTCCATGTTTCAGGACAGGTAATGTGAAGACAATGGCTGACCGGATTCTGACCATGCGATCAGAACTCAGGGCACGATTAGAAGCCCTCAAGACTCCTGGGACATGGACTCACATCACTGAGCAGATTGGCATGTTCAGCTTCACTGGCTTGAACCGTAAGTGGTCCACAGCTCCTTGAGCATGTGTTTCTGAAGACCAGCGGTCTTCTCAGTCATTGGTCACAAGCTGTCCTCTCTTCACTGTTGCTTAATTTGTCTGCCATTACTTTGGACCAGGGCAAGTTAGGTTTTCTAGTCATACAATCTTCTGAGCCCCTTGGGTCTTAGAAGAGCGTTATTGTAGTCTACCCCACTGACCCACAACCAAGGCATTTTCATTTTTATGGGCTGAGAAATGGCTCAGACAGAGCTGAAAAGTAACAGGATTTGTAGCTGAGCACCTGGATTTATGATTTTAAAGCTCTCATAAATTGTCTGCTAATTATTTGGCCTCACCTTAGTCCTAGGTGTAATTATTGTATGTGATTATTTGGTAACATAATTTCTTAGTTGGTCTTTTCCTCATCTCCCTCAAAAAGAGGCTATGAAATTATATCTCCGCTTCATAAAAGAGAATTTTGGTAGTCCTGGTTAAAAGCTGATTAAAACCTAGTGGGGGGCCATGTGCAATGTTGGTCTGCTGTCAGCTGGGTTTATCAGCTATCACTACTCCCTGATGACAGAGGGTTCATTCACTTAGTTTTTTTTTTTTTTTTTTTTTTTTCAGTCTTTTTGAGACAGGTCTCACTATGCAGTTCAGACTGGCCTTGAGCTCACTTTATAGCCCAGGCTGGCCTCGAACTCACAACGATCCTCCCGAGTGCTGGGATTACAGGTGTGCCAACATGCCCAGCTGGTTCACTTAATAAGTACCTCCTGGGTACTGTCAGCGTGGTGCAGATTGGCTATCACCCGTTTATCCGAGTGACTCTGGGGAAGGATACATGGCCTTGGGTGGTAGATGGGACGTCAGAGTCACCAAAGAGGCATCATGAGTAGAACCATCATCAGAGTGCTAGTTTGAAATTGGCTCAAAAAAGCCAAAGGAAATGAATATAAATATGTGATAGAGATTGTATTGTAGATTCCTCAAAATATTTTGGTATAAAATGAGGCCACCTAAGAAAGTGAAGGAATTGTTCAGTTACCTGTAGGTGTCCACATGACTGTGGGATGGAGAATTAGTTACTCAAATAAGAAAAGTCATCCTTATACAGCTGTAAAAATATTAAGGGTAATGGAAATGGTCTTCAGTAGTGATATTCTAAAAACTTACAAGGGAGGGGTGTCTCCCCACAAAATAGCCATATCTTCCCACTGTCCAGAGTAGGAAATTAGTTTTATTATGAATTGAAAAGTGATGAGAGTAGACTTGTACCTAAAGTTACATTCTTAGCACCTGACATCATTGTATGCTTTTTTAAAAAAAAATATTTGTTAGTGTATGTGTGCAGTTCTGTAGTGTTACCTGCCTTGTGGGGAGTTGGTCCATGTACATATTACATCTTAATTCTTTCTCCCCTTCCCTCTCCCCCTCCTCCCACCATCTCTTGATCCCTTTCCCATTTGAGAAAGATCTGTCTCTCTACCTTTTTTTTTTGTACCAGGAATTGAACTCAGGACCTTGTGCTTGCCAGGCAGGCACTTATGCTGCTGAGCTATATCCCTGGCCTGTCTCTCTACTTACTATCTTTTATTTTGCTTTTTATTTATATTTTGGGTTTCTCCTATAAAGGAAACCATGTGATATTTAAGCTTATGTCTGATTTATTTCGCTTAACATTATGGTCTCAAGGTGTATTCATTTTCCTATAAATAACTCATGTTTATCCTTTATGGCGGGACAGTATTCCATTATATGTAAATACCACATCATCTTTATCCATTCATCTGTTAATGGTGATCTAAGCTGCATCCAATATTTAGCCCTTAAGAATTGTGCTGCTATAAACATGAGTATGTATGTATCACTATAAAATGATGTCTTTAATTCTTTGGAGAAGATACGTAGAAGGGGAATACTTGGATTGAATGCAATTTGCTTCTTATTTTTATTTTTTTAATTTTAAAGATAAAAAAACTAACAAAACAACAATAATGAAGACAAAATCAAAACAACACAAAAACAATAAAAACGATACATGACCTCAACACAGAATGATAGGAATTAACAATTACATTATGTACTGTTATCTTCAGCTAAGTTGCTCAGTCTATCAGACATAAGAATGTAAGACTGATCAAACAATCAAAGACAGGAACAAGTAATAAAAAAATCCAAAAAACATTGGAAATGATGCCGAGCTTCACCATACAAGATGGTAGAGTTCAACAGTGGTTCTTACACTGCATACTGTTGTTTTCAGGTCAGTCGTTCTGACTGCCAGATAGTAATTTACTTTTTAGAAACGGGTTATTTTTATTTTCCCTCCCATGATTTTATTAGGAAAACATACAGAAAAGTTAGGGGAATTGTACACTATTTAGGCAGGGGCATATACCCACCATCTAGTTTCTGCAATTCTCATGTCACAATTTTTCCTCTATTACCTTTTTGTTAGAGCAGGGACTTTTCACCTGGAGTCCACAGATGTGCTTAAGGGCATCTATAAGGCCCCGGGCATTACGGTAAAAATTGCACCTGTGAATATTGGCCCTGTTCTAGGGAAGGAGTTCATACCATTTACCAGCTTCCCCCAAAAGTAAAGAGCTCTAATTTTTATTAAAACAAAACAAAAAAACCAGAACCAAACCAGAGTTCTCCTTTTTCTTTTTTTTGGTACCAGGAATCGATCTCAAGACCTTGCACTTTCCAGGCAGGCGCTTGTGCCACTGAGCTACATCCCCAGCCAAGCCCACCCCTTTTTTTTGTTTGAGACAGAGTCTTGCTATGCAATTCAGGCTGACCTTGAGCTCACTTTGTAGCCCAGGCTGGTCTCAAACTTGCAACAATCCTCCTGCCTCAGCCTCCAGAGTGCTGGGATTACAGGCGTGCACCACCACGCCTGGCTCAAAACCAAACCAGAGTAGAGCCTAGTGACAACAAATGCCTGCCTCTGGGTCTCAGAATTTGCTAAACGGCAGGGTGTCTGTGTCTCTGCTGACGTGAGGTATGCATTATCTTCTTAGATAGCCGTCATTCACACAGTACACCCAGTCAAGGTGACTTGTGAAGCCACCTTTGTTTGCTCGGTGGCGGGGCACATTGCAGCACCAAGTCCAGAGTCCAGGTTTGCCACTTCCATAGAGAGGCAGCATAGCGTTGTGGCCAAGAGCCCATATTCAGGCTTAAAGCCATACATCCACCACTTACCAGCTGGGCGACCTTGGGAAGGCCGTTTAACTTCTGTGTCCCATCTCTGTAATGGGGAGGATAAGGTTATTATCAAGATTACTGAGGTTGAGGTGCTCATAGCACTGCCTGGCACGTAGTGTTTGCCCCTTTGATTGTTAGGATATTATTATTCTGTTCCCTTATACAGACTGTCTTCAGGGTGCTCAGTAGGCAAAAACCTTCTAGAATTCGGTCGTGGATTTACAGTAAAGCAAGACCACTGTAAGGACTGCAGCATCAAGGCAGTAGAGGCAGCCTGCCCTGCTGTACTCGCTGTGGCTCTGCACACACAGGGCCCTTCTTGCCTCCGAGAGGGAGCAGTGAGAGGTGAAGAAGACCTATTGGTGCCAAGACGGGGAGATCTGTGTATGAGATGTGATCGAAAAATACAGTGGATGTTCAATTTTTTAAAAAGAATTTATTATAGTAAAAGATACATTGTCGTTAACACATTCCTGCCAGCTTGAACCGCTGGTGGTACGTGCATGACTGTTCCATCTGGCGGCATGGGACAGTCCCACTGGGTGGTGTAATGGGTGGGACAAGCCACCTGATGGAATAGTCCATGCACGTACAGCCCTGTCACGAATGTGTTAATCCCCCTCAAACTCCTCTCCCTCATTTCGAACACACTTACCCTAACACACTTCAAACATACTTCTCCCACCATCCTCACCGCTTTCTGAAGCAGTTCTGGAAATCCTCTTTCTCATGAGTATCTTTAGTTGTGCTGTCCTGGCTGCCGTGATGGCCTAAGTTGATTTGAAACATTTACCTTTCACTGTCACTTTGACTTTGAGGAAGATCCAGAAGTTGCAAGGTGCTGGACCTGGTAAATAGGGCAGATGAGGACACACCGAGACGTTTTACAGGACTCCTTTTCCATTGGACAGCACCTAGCAGCGGCATTGTCTGTATTTTTTATTTTACCTCATGAATTAAAAAAAGTTTTAAATTTTACAAAATGTAAACTTTTACTGTATATTTTGATCACACCTTATAATTTCTTGGTCTGCTGGTTTATTCCCATAGCATTTATCCAGTGTCTGCTGCCTGGAGCTTTTTCTAGGGTACTATAAAAATGAATCAACAAGCCAGGGATATAGCTCAGCGGCACAAGTGCCTGCTTGTCAAGTGCAACGTTCTGAGTTTGATTTCTGGTACCAAAAAAAAAAAAAAAAAAAAAATCAACAGAAAGTTGTGGCTAGGTGCCCAAGGATAATCAGATAGCTTAGGAAGAGGTGAAGGAAACACTGCATAATCAGTTTTTCATATCAGCAGAATCTTCTTAGTCTGGTAGTTATTTTTAGTTGATAGACTGCGTTGGTGGATGTAATGTAAGGTCTGGTTGGGCGGTAGCCCCAGAATAAATTGCATAGCAGTAGTAGGCATAGTGATCTTCCCGAGGATTAGCAAGTTAACTAATCTACCAGAATGTAGTGAGTATATTTCTATTTGTCAGTTGGATGAAATGGCTCCTTTTGTTTTTGCCTCTCTTAAAGGGGAAGAAGGAAAATTGTAATTCTCTTATAGTCCCTGAGCCATCACCACTTAAAAGATCCCTACTGCTCTGATTCTATCTTGTTTTGGTTTTCAACAGCCAAGCAGGTTGAGTATCTGGTCAACGAAAAGCACATCTATCTTCTGCCAAGTGGTCGGATCAACATGTGTGGTTTAACCACCAAAAATCTAGATTACGTGGCTACCTCCATCCATGAGGCAGTCACCAAAGTCCAATGAAGAAACACCATCCAGTCCACACCACCAAAGTGTTCGGTGTCACATGTGTCCCTGCCTGCACAGACCTAGTTGTACATATCATGGATCAGAGCCGACCAGAGGACTACAAAGCCACCCTGGGACACTGACCTCTGTTTCAGCTGGCCCATGTGACGAGAACATCCTTGAAAGAAATTGGGAGCCAGGGATTAGAGCCTGTTGGAGGCCAGGCAAATTAAGGTTTTTATTTAAGAATAATTAACGTTTGATCACCAGACGTAGATTCCTTGCTAGATGCGGGAGTACCGCCCACGTTGTTCATGGGTTCTGCATGTTGCTTAACTCTGTACAAAGTCTAGTCCAAAGGCCAAGTTATCTGAAGGAACCATTGTGACTGTGAGTGTTGACTGTGGCATTAAAACTCTTCATTTCCACCTTGTCTGCTGTTCTTTCTGCATGGTTTTGTCCCTTGTCTGAAACTTTAATTCTTTAGGGTGACTGCAATAAGAAGTATCTACATCATGATGCACACGGCGTATTCACCTATTTAACTGAAACAAGGGTTTCACGAAATAGTATTTCCTCTTGCAATGTGTAGTGCAGTCTGATATTTCCTAGTACATTCTATTCTATTTTGTTCTGTTTCACTGGAAAAAAAATAAAATAAAATGCTGAACAAGACCCATGGAATTGATTCTGTGATCCATTAATGGGTTGTGACCCACAAATTAAAGTGAAGAAAAAGGGCTTTCGAGGGATTTGTTAGTGACTGAAAGAAAAACTGAAATGTTTCCTCAGAATATGGCTTCCTTTGGTGAGATCACTGCACCAGTCTGTGTCCATTTCGTGGGCTTGTCATTCGGAGACCAGCGGCCTTACAGTTCCTGAGAACCAGCCTCCTGGGCGCATAGGAGGGGCATCACGCGGGGATTCAGGCTGCCAGCCCTTCCCACTGTGTTTAGAATACCTCCTGGTCTGCTGGAGCAGCTACAGCCATTTAAATATAGGTCACAATTTGCAGTGTCGTGGGGACTCCAAATAGCTTTGTAGTTTGGCAGGTGATTTGGGGAGGTTGGGTTTTCCTGGAGAGTGTCACTATTAGAGATTTAAAAACACTTAAAAGTTACATTTTGATATTTTAACAGGATCTGTTCCATTCTGTCTAGGACCCGAGTTATGCAGTTGTACAGTCTTAAAGGACCACTGGGGTCTTAGTAGCCAGCAGTGTAGCCTCTCCTTGGTGAAAGTGTCTTCCATGCTGTCTCTCATCATTTTCAACTGGTCTGGTGGTGCTGGATTGTCCTGAGAGTTAGTAAGGCATCCTGTTCCATTGGTCCTTTGCTAAACTCTTTCACCTTGACCAGGAGTTTAATCTACATTGGTCTTACTCCTCTGGACCCACTTCCTTCTACAGCCAGCCAGCAGGTCTACTGGCATTTGTAATGGACCTTTCAAATATATAGAAGTAGCCATGGGCATTCCTTGTTTACAATTTTCCCTGTGAACCCATTGTATCATTTAGTGTGTCGGCTCAGGAAAAAGTTCCCGGCTCTTTGACCACTGGGCTGGCCCTCACTGTGAGTGTGTGACTGCATTGGCCAGTGTGGGTGGGATGAAAGTGATCAGTGCCTTCTTTTCTCATTTCTGTTTGATCAGTATTTGTTCTTCCAACGTAAAGATGGTTGTCATCGGTAAGGAAGGCGGCCAAGACAGCAGTCAGATGGTTTTACCTTCCGTTAGTCTTCTGTCATTCTCCCTGATGTGGCTTTAAACCATCAGTCTCTGGGAGGACGACTACCGTCCTCCACAGGACCAAATGTGGGTTCTTGGGAGGCAAAATAAAGTCTATTAAAATTATTTTTGGCCCTTCAAAGTGCAGTACTACCCAACCAGGTGTTAGTATTAGATTTCTATTGTTACGGAGAATTTACTTTTCTGTTCTTCCGTGTCATGTGGTTGGTGTGATGCTCAGCTGTGGGGCTCTGTGTAAGTTTGGGGAAAGGTGCAGGACTTCCAGGGCCTCTGCTGTCTACCTGTGTGAGCTGAGCACAGTAGATTGAAGAGGTAGGACTGCACGTTTTGCCTGGTCGGGAGCAGGGCACTCAGACCTCCATGCTCTGCCAGTTCCTGGCTGAGTAACCTTGAATAAGTCACCTGTCCTTTTAGACATTAACACTCCTTGGCAGGGTGGTTTGAGGACCAAAATGAGCTAAAGAGCCTGTAGCAAAATAGTTGTTGCTATAATTTACTGCTATTCTTGATAAAATGAATACCTGCCATGGAGGGTCCTGGTACGCATCTTAAATTGTTTTGGCATAGGCCACTAATTGTCCTGTTTGTGAAATGAGTGTCATTCAAATCTGCTCAGGCCAGGCATAGTGGCACGTGCCTATAATCCTAGCACTCGGGAGGCTGAGGCAGGAGGTTCGTGTGAGTTCGAGGCCAACCTGGGCTGTACAGTGAGTTCAAGAACAGCGTGAACAGCATAGTGAGACTCTGTCTCAAAAAGACAAAAAAACCCTGAAACAAATTAGTGCTCGAGCGCATCTTCCCATCTGTCTGGCTGTTCCTGCCTTCCTGCACAGGTTTACAGTTGACCAGTGGGCCTGGTCCAATCTGTTGTTTTTTCCCCAGCCTTTGGGAACTGTTAAGAGTTGGACCACTTTGATTTCTTTCCAGAAGGTCTGCAGCAGTGAGCCCGAGTGACCAGCATGGAACCTCGTCAGGGTCTGGCGCCTCAAGACCTTGGACTTGGGAAGCTCTCAGCACAGCGCCTCACCACATGTTCATTATCCTTTTACTCTTGCTCCCTCGTCTCCATTTGCAGTCTGGCTCCTGTCTGCGTTTTATTTCCCATTCCCGCAAAATCTGACTCATCTGGCGTCCCAAGGTGGAGTGCCGGAGCTTTCCTGTCCCCTTCCCCAGCCTCACACCTGCTGCGGGAGCTCTGCCTTTTCAGGAAGGTGAGCCATAGGTGAGAGCTACTCATGTGCGCTACCCGACCTGCATCTTAGATGGCACGCCCGGTCCCCGGAGCAAGCAAAACAGCCACTTTCCAGTAAAGCCATTTTCATTTTATTTAAAAATTATTTACAATTGACCCTTCATAAATACTTTATCTTAAAATCCTTTTTAAATTTTAAACCTGAAGAAACTCTGTGGGCAGGGAGCCGGGGAGAGGAGTGGGGACAGGCTCCTTAGAGGTTCTGCAGAGGGGTGGATGTAATGCAGGAGTAGTGGTCTGTACCTGGTGGCCTAAAGGAATGAAAGGGTGCCTTGCCAGGCGGGCCCTTCTGGCTCAGTGGCCAGCTAGGCTAGGAGAGTGCAGGATGGCAGTTCTTGTTCCAGACTCACCATTTACAGCACTGAGGGCTGACTCTTCCAGTTGGGCTGGAGTAGGTGGGGAGGGGGTAGCTGTAGGGTTATCTACAAGAACACATGCATGGCTGAGCCTCAGGCCGGTCAGGCCAGGCAAGGGATGTGTCGGAGTCAGTCACACATTACTGAAAGAGGCATCTCCAGCTCCAGGTCTTTACTCCCATGTGCTGTGGCCCTCCTGTCTGCAACACCTGCTCTGGTTTGGTAGGGCAGGGGACCAAAGTTTTGTGGTGGGCAGGATGTGCGATGTCAAGGGTGTGCCAAGAATTTCTGAGGACTCCTGCTTCTTAGCGGGTGCCAGCCTTCGCCATTTACGGAGAGACTTGAGAAGATCGCTCACAATTCAGAATCTGTCTCAATGACCAGCACTCACTTCACCCTGCACTGCAGAAACGCTGGACTGAAAGTTCCATTAATGAAAATAGAGGCTATTTTAACCCTTTGTGGGTCTGAGAGCTTTGAGAATCTTAGGAAAGTTTTAGTTCTGGAAAACACACATAAAAACACGCACACTAAATTCAGACAGTTTGAAGGGTTTCATAGACCCTCTGAAGCCCAACTATGGACCTTCTAGGGTAACAGAACCCGAGTTAAGAACCCCTGAGTTAAAGGTTCCTATGGGTAAGCATTTTCCTTTGAGATGCAAATAACCCAGAGGAATTATCAGTTTCTTCCCGGCCCCATGTGATTAATTGAGTGGGTGAGGGGAGGGAAGCCTGCATTGTATACTACAGGGAAAAGTTTGGAAATGGTTGGAAGATTCATTGGGCACCACTGGATCTCTGGTACCACCCAAAGAGTGGGAGATACATCAGAAAGGCAGACAGGCTTTCCAAAGCCAAACTACACTTTCAAGTTTTCCCTAAGGCTTGCTATGGTTCCTGATCAGAACTCTGAACGTTCTTCAAAGTAGATACTACTGTACTGTGTGTACTGTACCGTACTGCTCTGCACTGCACTATATGTGCAGTCCTTCTGCCATCTTGTGGTTATTCTTAGAATTGCACTTGCCCCAACGTGCAGCAGAAAAACCAGTTCAAATTCTGGGACTAAAGTACACTTAGCTGACCTGCTGGGGTGTAGTAAGAGGTCGGGGAAATAGGTCAAAAATAATGGCGATCCTTCAACATTCCTGTGTAACACACACTGAAATGCTCATGTATTCTTCTTGGCAGACCTGGGCACTCTTTGGTTTGTCATGGCTAAACTCACTTTCACAGCTTAGAATTTTTCCATGTAAGGTTTCTTTTTTTTTTGTTGTT